CAAAATAAACACTACAATACAACTTGTTATTTGACACACACAAGGTTGTTCATTTGTGTGTATAAAAATACAACACAGGCTATATACATATATATATATATATACATATACAAGTATAATTAATACAACTGTTAATTTGATTAGAGCTTTGACACATATATCTTTATTTATATATGTATAAGTATGACGACTTCCTTGGGCAATGTCTATCTGGGTCAAAACGTGTTGTGCCCACATGCAAAGGTTGTAAACTCTGGCTTATACTCGTGGTATTATAGTAATAGCAAACAGCAACGTTCAACTCCTTTAATGGTATATTGCAAGTGCAATAAGAAGCTACAGGGACGTTAATCTACGTCGGTAATATTAATATATGGTTCCGTTCTTATTGTGCATCCATGGGTAAAGGTAAAACTCATGTAGTACTGAACACGTCACATCACATGAATGTGCCGGGCGGCGCGGTCCCGTGGGTTAGATGCGCGTTCATAATGCAGAGGAAAATAACTCTCAGAATAACGTTATTAGCACATTTTACAACTTGAGGACCGAATGTTTTTAATAAGGGCTATACAAACGTTCATACTGGGTAGTTTATTTAGTTTAAAAAAAATTATCCAACGATTTACAGACCATTCTTTCCCCATGTAAGTCAATGGGAAAAAGTGTTTCCGGGCCCAGCAACCTAAAGGAAGTGTAGTACCGCCGTTTGGCCACAACGAATATTCTACTCAGAGTCCGGCGCACTTTCTGGGGGCTTGGTCTGTGTAGACAAGTGCTCCCCTCCTGCTGCAGGTGCACCTGGTCTGCCCCTGGCTCCGCCTCTGCCCAGGTGCACCTGGTCTGCCCCTGGCTCCGCCTCTGCCCAGGTGCACCTGGTCTGCCCCTGGCTCCGCCTCTGCCCAGGTGTTCCAAATTCCACTCAGCTGTGTGTATATATAAAGAGAAGCTGGAGTAGAAGGAGGTCTCGCCTATCCTAACGCCGGGAGACACTCTCTTCAGAATACCTCTTTGCCATTTTGAGCTGTAGGCCATATTTTTGCAGATGTGTTTATGTTTAGCCTGGAGGACCTGGTAGTCCAGTTTTCGCTGCTTTATTTTGTTTCCCATAGGGTTTATATTTGATTTCTGGTTAGGGGGGGGGGGGAGCTCTAGGTCCTACGGTCCGTGGTGTGGCTGGCTTGGGTTCCCTCCTTCTGTTTGTTCCTTTTGGCCAGTCCTCCAGACCTCTTTTTGTTTCCCGTTTCGCTTGTGTGAGCAAACGGCTGATTATCAATAAATGCTCGTTACCAAGTACCGGTTATTGCGTGTATTCTTTCATGTTGCGGGTCTCAGCACGAGCCACTACCGCGGAGTAGAGGTTGGGGCCGTAACAATAAGTCCAAGACACTGTGAAATATACTTTGCACTTCAATGGAGTAATAAAAAGTTAAAATGGGCATTTTCTTTGTTTTTCTTTGTTGATTGAGCTGATTGAATTGTGTAGTTATGGTAAAATCCCAGTTAACTAGTCAAATTTACAATATATTATCGTATTATTTACATTTGTATATTTACAGTAAATTACTGGCTACTGTGTTGCATTACTTCTACAGTAATAGTGTGAAAATACAGGTAATTACTGTAATCTATGTACAGCAAGGTACCATGGCAACTGTAAAGTCACAGTATTTAGTTGTACTTTTATTCTAATTTACTGTAAAATATCTGCAGTAAATTACTGTAAAATATTTACAGTCAATTGCTGTGAAATATTTACAGTAAATTACTGTGAAATCCATGCAACTAGTAGCCAGTAATTTACTGTAATTTTACAGCCAAACATTTTACAGTGTAGCCATCACATATCTTTACTATCTTCTGTCAAATGTCTCTGCAGGGTTAGCATTGCCCTGAGCTTAAGATCTGTCCAGTATTTACTAGGTATTACTAAGGAAAACACTGCTGTCTGTTTTAGTACACACTTAAAAAAATGCCTGGAAGAAGATCAATGCCTAACATCACAAAACTAAACAAAATATGAATAAAAATGAACAATTCTTGACATGAAGACTCCAAAAGGAACAACCAAATACTAGCTGGCAGAGATCTTTACTCTCAACCCTAAATGTTATATTTGTGCAGGGCTAATGTTTCCCTGAGATTAAGACAGAAAGCATTTTTTAGGGAAACACTGCTGTCCCATGGTAAATATGTTTGTACACACTTAAAAAGCAATGCCTTAAAGAAGAGATGAGATGATAGTGTTTCTTTGGAAGAGAAGACACCCAGCGCCCAGACGGAGGTAAAGATGCTGCATGTGTTCGGCTCTTACTTTGTACAATGCTCCATCTCTCTCCACACTGGGGACAGCAGGAGTCTCCTGATGGAGGTCGCTGCTCCCAGTATGAGGTGATGCACTGTCTGCAGAACCGGTGTCCACAGCTGGTAGAGACTGGATCCTTCAGGACGTCCTGACACAGAGCACAGCTGGACAGATGCTCCTCCACAGGAACACGACTCTTCCTCTTCCCTCTGTGGAGAGGAACACATCCTTTATAGCACTTTACATTAGTGGAGCTGATTCTCACCAAAGGTACAACAAGGTGACAAATTCTAGTTTGATATTTTAAAAAGGTTTCTATATTATATATCTTCATGATCAGGTAGATAGTTTAAGCATACTGTCTGGATTCATGACATCACCTAGAGGAGCACATAGCACTAGTCCGGTCGGGTGCTGGTGTCCGGAATAGTTCGCTTGACAGGAACCATTGTTACGGCCCCAACCTCTACTCCGCGGTAGTGGCTCGTACTGAGACCCGCAACATGAAAGAATACACGCAATAACCGGTACTTGGTAATGAGCATTTATTGATAATCAGCCGTTTGTTCACACAAGCGAAACGGGAAACAAAAAGTGGTCTGGAGGACTGGCCAAAAGGAACAAACAGAAGGAGGGAACCCACACAAGCCAGCCACACCACGGGCCGTGGGACCTAGAGCTCCCCCCCCTAACCAGAAATCAAATATAAACCCTATGGGAAACAAAATAAAGCAGCGAAAACTGGACTACCAGGTCCTCCAGGCTAAACATAAACACATCTGCAAAAATATGGCCTACAGCTCAAAATGGGCTGCCAAAATCTGTATATGGTTCGTTATTTGGTTTTTCCGTTTCAAAACCGAATAGGAAAACTGAAAAACCAGTTCTGTTTTTTTCTGTTTTTTTAGTTTTTCTGTTTTAAAACCAAAACGAAAAAACGGAAAACAAAGAAAACTACGTTATTCTGTTTTTAAACTAAAACAGGAAAACAGATATATCAACGTTTTGGTTTTGTTTGTATGATTTACAGATAATCCAGTGAATGCTGGGAAAACGAGGAGAAGGCGCATTATGAAGGAGATGTCCGGTCGCACAGTGTGTGTGTGTGTGTGTGTGTGTGTGTGTGTGTGTGTGTGTGTGTGTGTGTGTGTGTGTGTGTGTGTGTGTGTGTGTGTGTGTGTGTGTGTGTGTGTGTGTGTGTGTGTGTGTGTGTGTGTGTGTGTGTGGTGTGTGTGTGTGTTGTGTGTGTTGTTGTGTGTGTGTGTGTGTGTTGTCTGTACGACCGGTACATTAATGGGAAACCCTAAATGTTTGAGCACCCTCTATGAAACGTCAAGCTACACCACAGCACCCCCAAAATAAATCTCTGGCGCCGCCACTGAGCCTGCAACCCTGTTTTGAAGAAATGTGCAGTGCCAAACAGGCTCATTGCAGCCACTAATGATGTGATAAGACACACTTTGCCAAATATCAGCCTTTTCTTTCTTTTCATTTTTTTGCACAGATTGCAAAGTGGCAAAGTATTATAACTTATTGTTCTAGCAAAGGGATTGCACAATTGTATTATGTATTTATTTTTTTACCACACAGACCTATGGAGCATTGTTTTATTATCACTGTTCTAGCAAAGGAATGCACACGTTCATATTGATGTATTTTAATAAATGTTAACTTGGCCCATTACGTGACTATTTGTGTTGGGGGGGCCCGACTTTTTTTTTTCTCCAAAGGGGGGGCCTGACAGAAAAAGTTTGAGAACCACTGGATTAGCTTGATTTAAAGGTCACGTATCATGCTATTTTTAGGCAATAGCATAGGTCTGGTACCAAATGTTCTGGTCAAAAAATCAAACAGATCACCCATTCTAGCCATGCCACATATCCCTCTATTTCACTTCCTGTTACAAAAGTGCTGATTCTGGGTATAAAGATTTTTTTCTTCTTTTAAACTGAAAAAAAAAAAAATCAGAGGGGGCGGAGCTTATGCCGGCTCATGCGGGACCTGGCAGATACTGTCTAAAATGCTGCGGTGATGAAACGCTAGGATTATTAGATCAAGGATTATTTCTGAAACAGTATGGAGCTCAAAGGCTTTCTCTCTTGCCGGTTATACCACAAGGTGAGTTCCTTTTTATATCCTGCTTCTTACACATGCTCTCCAGTACAGCTTAGCTCTGAGTGTTAACGATGCTTGCTAATGTAAACAAAGACTATTACGTCCAAAACACGTCGGGAATTGTTTCTGATACAGCAACGTTTCTGATAGGGCCGTGGGTCCACCATGCAATATGATTTACGTCATATCGGACGCAAATCTGGATCAGCTCCGTTGTAGCCCCGTTTTTAGAGATTTGGGTACGGAAGAAAAGAGAGAGGGTTTTATTTTCTGACGCTGCGTGAGTTCCCTGACGCACCGGGGACACATATTTATGTAGAAAATACATCAAAAAGTGCATTTTGCATGATAGGTCCCCTTTAACACAAAGTTCAACATGTCAAGTGTGAGGATGGTTTCACTAGTAGATCATTTACTATCGCTGATCGCCAAGGAGCAAGAGTTCAATTAAACTTTGTTACTGTACACTACTGAGTTTCTTTACTCCGATCATTAAAGAACAGTTGAGATTATCAGATGATATAAAAACTGAATCCTCTTCAGGTCAGTTTACAATAGAAACAGACTCTTACTTTGTTTCTGAGGGTCCAGGTTCATTACTGAAGACTATAGGTAATTCTTTAGACCGGTCACTCTTCAGAGACAGACAGCTGGAGACTGAACACGTGTCCTCTTCCTCACTCATCTTCTCCAGCCTGAGAGATAAACCAGTAACAACACACACACACACACACACACACACACACACACACACACACACACACACACTCACACACACACACACACACACACACACACACACACACACACACACACACACACACACACACACACACTCACACACACACACACGCACGCACACACGCACGCACACACACGCACACACACACGCACGCACACGTGCACACACACACACACACACACACACACACACACACACACACACACATTATAACAGCATTATTTAAATCTAAACCATCATAATGATAAACTTTGGTTTCTGACAGGCCGCTCTCCATTTTGTCTGCGCTGGGCGGTTTCCTGTTATGTAACTCTGATGAATTAGAAGCCAGGAAATTAAAACGTTTACAACATTTGAAAATGTCACCGTGGATTCTAGAAAAAAAAGATTTTTTTTCGATAACCCATTTCGTTATACTAACATTATAAACCTTCATGACATTCATGATTTACTCTGTTAGACTATAGTCTAAATCATGAATGTCTTAAAAACCCAGCAGAGCCTGGTGTTAACACTCACCCTGTTTTCTTCCTCCTGCTGTCGAAGTATGAAATGGAGTCAGGCCGTCTGACTACATATTTTCCCTTTTATGTCCTCACCTGTCTGCCGCTCCTCCCTTTGTTTCATAACCTGCTGAACAGGAACACACAGGGATTATTTTCAGTAAGATAAACATGCAGCTAAAAACAAGCAGAACAGAGTTATTAAATAGAAAATAAAAACCACAGTGTGAAAATAACCCAGTACAAGTCAACATCCAGTATTCAAAACCTCACTAAAGTTAAAGTAGGCCTATGCAGGTGTACTTCTGCATCGTATTCTATAAAATCATGTGTCCTGAGAAAACCACATATTGCTTAAGAGTCAACTTTTCATGAGTGTCTCTGAGAAACAGCCGTATTACATGCTGCATTTCCCTAGTAGAAGTGTAAAGGTAATGAACTTAAGTAATGTAGAAGTACCTTACATGTGTACTCTTTTTAAAGCACTGGATTAGCAGATCCTTAGCTGAAGCACCTCATACTCTGTGCTGTTCAGTAGGTTGATGGGGGAGGGGCGATCCAGTGTTGTTGTTATGACAGCACCTCCGTCTGTAGGTCCATTCCCCCTGAGCCCCAGCGCCTGCTGACCTCTCAGGCTGACCTCAAAATATTAAGTGATGGAACCAAGTTATCGTATTGATGTACTTTTGAAACTATTTAAGATAAGCCTTACTGCATTACTAAAAACTGACTACTATGGAAGTTTTATAAAAAATCCTCAATATAACTTGAAGATTACTATCATTCTTTTCTTAAAAGTGCTTCAATATAACTTGAATACAATTAAAAACAGCAACAGAATTAGTGTTTCCTCATTTATAGGATTTTCAAAGAAAATAATATATTTGGATTTCACCCCTTTGTAAACAACATTTTGATTAGCATAGTTACCGTTCACAACTTGAATGTTAAATAAGAATATGAATTCTTGTGACTTATTTATACATATTTAGTTAATGATAATCCTCTAACTGATATTTTCATTAACACTCTGCCCTGAAATAAAATCTCTTTATGAACAATTGTATTTGTTAACGGACAATTGTTCCATTTTAGATTTAAAAAAGTTAAAGATAAATACAAAAAATAATAAAATATTTTTATAAAATAAAGAGTTGAAGTAAGAATTTTGAATAAAATAAAATATTTTAATTATAGTAAATAATAGTCCACAAAACACATTCATTTCATTTAAAAACAGTGTCTTTAATATACGTTTCATCAGGTAACGTCATGTAAAATGTAGAATGCATAATCGTTGTGTAACACCCACCCTCCACCTATAAAGCTTCAGATAGTTCAGATTTACATGATATGAAAATGGTTATATATAAAGCACTTACATATTTTATAAGGAACAACAATAAGGGAACATTCAAGGGGCAATGTGCTGCTCCAGTGATAAGCAGTGATTTCCAACATGGGGGGTGGGGTCCCCAACAGGTCGCATTATGATGACGTTGGAGGGGCTGTGAGATATTATTAAAAAAGGAAACACACAATTCATCTGTTGCACACACATTATGTTTTTTATGGACTAATCTTTGCTGTTTTTCTTGTGAATTACTGGATAATATTACTTCTTTGGACCCCTTAATATCAAAATAAAGAAAAGAAAATCACTCTTTGGTTGAAATGGTCAAGTGTGAGACATTTACATTACGTTTGTTATTATACATGCCTTATTTTAAAGGGTTACAAGCCGACAACTTTTGGAACCAGTGATCAGTAGGATGTTATTCTGTCAAGGTATTTGGTTTTATGGACAGAATCATTATGGATGCTGGAGGTAGCAAGGCTGAGGGTCCTTAACAGCATCTCAGGCATAGCTTTATCACGCATGAGTAAAAACAATCAGAAGTCTAGTTTCAGTCCTGAAGACACGGAGGCTCCAGCTTGTGCCAGGTAGTTTGGGAACGCAGGGTCGGACCCGGATGTTTTTCCCGTTTCCTGGTCAGTAGGCATCAGTGCGGCGCCGTGAACCTGCTGCCACAGCTGAGTGTTGTGAGCGACTCCCTGCCGCTTCAAGTATCCCTGCTGACAAAACAGCGGCGGCTTGCGGTGGGTTAGGGAGGAGCGGAAACAGGATTCTGAAAGACACAGAAATTATTATTTACATAAAAAAGGTTTTTACAAAATTCATAATTTATAAAAGACACACAAATTAATAAAAAAACACTTTTTCTTAAAGACACAGAAATCCTTTAAAAATAATATTTCTAAAAGACATACAGAAATGATTAAAAATATATATATAATAATTCTAAAAAACTAAAGGAATTATTAAAAAAACAAAATTATTTCTAAAATCATTTTTCTTTTTTTAATGAATTTTTTTCTAAAAACACAGATTATTTTAAATATATATATTTCTAGAAGCCCCAGAAATTATTAAAAAATATATATATATATTTCCAAAAAGACAAGTTATTTAAAAATATATCTTGTTTTGTAAGGCCAAGTAATTATTTTAAATAAATATAAATTATTTCTTAAAAGGCACAGAAATGTAAAAATAAATGTATACAATTTAAAAAAAAAAAATGGTCTGCTATATAATCAATGGTAAATCAATAGTGTTAACCCTTACATTTGCGATTACCATTTTAATAATTAATACACAAATAAATACATGAAAAATAAATAAATTAATTCATAAATTAAAAAAATACTATTTGTATCACAAACAAACAGTTTTACCAGCATAGAAGGCCCTGAGGTCAGTCTGGACACAATGCTCCAGGAAGCGCCGCAGAGGCTGGATATGAGAAATTGGAGTGTCCCATTCTGCGAGGAAGTCCTCCACCATGTGATGCATCGCTTTGGGCCTCGGTAACGGCCAGCCAGTGGGACGCAGCCTCATGTCTTCCTCTGGGGAACAAGAGGAGAACATTAACATACATTCAGAGTTTGTTTTTATTTCTTCCTGAGACAGCATCTCCACTCACCAGTAGGAAGTGTGTCGTAGTAGTATAAAACAGGGTGCAGGAAGTTGGATTTCCAGGCTTTGGTCCAGTCTGTTTCGGCCCTGCTCCGCCCCAGAAAGTCGATCTTGTTGTTCCCGTACTGCATCACCAGGACTATCAGCCCATGTTCGGAGACCTCGTGGCCCGAGACAGAGGAGAACTGAGGCAGAGCCTGGAGAGTAAACTCTTCCACGTATTCACAGTGAGAGCTGAGAGTCAAGGACAGAAGAAAGCATCATTATATAATGAGTATGAAGAAGGGATTAAAAGAGTGGCGCAGTCATGATTTCCAGAAGTAAAAAGCTAATGTTAGATATCAAAATAACACCGTTGGCTCACCCTCGAAGAAGTACAACGTCCCCCAGCACCTGAAACATTTGGTACGGCCCGGAAGCTTCGCTGAGTCGCTTCAGCATCCAGGACTGCAGCTGCGTCGTCAACAGTTTTGTCGACGGCCACAGGTTACTATGGTAACGCTGTTCAAGTACGCGATGTACGGCTCGCACTGTGGCAGAACATTTAAAAAGCGTTTAAGAAAAATCATCTTAAAAGAAAGGAGCAAATGTTTAAAAACTTAAGTAACAAAGCATTAAAACATCATACGAATCATAAAAGACCACACAAGCCACTTGTTAAGAAGTGCTAAAAACACAATACACTGTGGAAAACACAATAAAAACATAGAATAAATTAGAATAAAAGTACACAAGTTACCCAAACGCCTACCCAAACAGGAATGTCTTTAGATGACATTTTAAAAAGTCTACAGAGCCAGGTGTGCCGGCAGAGCGTTCCATAGTTTAGGAGCCACGGCCTCAAATGTACCTGTGTAACGGAAACCATGGACGAAGCCGCCCGCAGATGAGCGGTAGTCTCTGGAGTGAGCAGCTGTTCCCAGAACAAACAGGCCGGGGGTGTTCATCCCTTCATACCACGGCGTCACACTGGGCAACCTGCCTTTAGCATTGTCACTGATGGGAGGGCAGGCAGAGCTATGGAGATAAAACATTATATAAGTAATATACAAATGTACAGAGTCACCAGAGAGAGGCTTTGTTGACAGGGCGGAACATTATGCTACTGGATGAATCAATATTTACATTATGGAGTGGTGGAGGGATGACGTTATTTTGTAGATTGACCAAGAAGTGAACATCACAAAGGTTCCCTCGATAAAAAGCCAATGGGATTCTTCCATTGGATTTTGGAATATTGCCAAAAACAAGACAAACTGTTATAATACTACTTTTATAATTGTTGAAACATAAATGCATTGCCAGATGTAAAAAGTTAATGTTGGGCTATAAAGGAACTACAGCACGGTCACATGACTTCACGTCACCACCGCTAAGCTAAAGGAGGCTAATGTTGGGCTATAAAGGAACTACAGCACGGTCACATGACTTCACGTCACCACCGCTAAGCTAAAGGCGGCTAATGTTGGGCTATAAAGGAACTACAGCACGGTCACATGACTTCACGTCACCACCGCTAAGCTAAAGGCGGCTAATGTTGGGCTATAAAGGAACTACAGCACGGTCACATGACTTCACGTCACCACCGCTAAGCTAAAGGCGGCTAATGTTGGGCTATAAAGGAACTACAGCACGGTCACATGACTTCACGTCTCCACCGCTAAGCTAAAGGCAGCTAATGTTGGGCTATAAAGGAACTACAGCACGGTCACATGACTTCACGTCACCACCGCTAAGCTAAAGGCGGCTAATGTTGGGCTATAAAGGAACTACAGCACGGTCACATGACTTCACGTCACCACCGCTAAGCTAAAGGAGGTTAATGTTGGACGTGATGACGTTTAGTCGTCTCATTTAGACACATAAACCCAACCAAAAAACATTGACTATGAGATAAGTTAACTAGAATTGCTGAATCGCTTACTTATTTCCAGGTTTAGGACTCATTTTTGCACCACTCTTTATAATAATCCTACCATTAATACCTGTCAAACACGCTGAAGTTGAATCTGAACCCGAGGCATCGAATCACTCGGTCGTAGGGCTTTCGCATGGAGAAGTTATCGATGTGATACCCTGGCATTTCCTCTCCTGACACGTCAGAGCCGTTCTTCTTCTCCTGGTGTTGAATGTGCTTCTTTAGAGTCAGGTATAACTTCGCTTTATTCTGAGCGCCCGCTCTCCTGCTGCTCTTCTCTTTTCGTTGAGTGATGCCTATTTTGTCCAGACGAGCCTCCGCCAACCCATCTAGAGACTTCAGCTGATATGTGTCGATAAGGTCATTATTCACAGCTCTGAAAAACAAAAACAAAAAGGTACATTTAGAGTAAAAGTGCTTATAACTCTAATGAAGAACAGTTGGTGAAGTTGTAATTAAGGACACATGTTCCCAACTGGGTCCTTCTGCAGTTGCAATGGGGTAGCTACGTTAAAATGTGAGAAAATAAACATTACACTGATTTAATGAGAAATGTATATCCAAATATTGAGTGAGGTCTAAATAAATAAGTAAATTAGTTAGTGAGTGGGCAGAGATAAACAATTAGCTTAAAGTAATTAAACAATGTTTTGGGAATAACTGTCTTTAAGGCTTTGATTAATTGTGAAATAGAAAAAAGTAACGGATAAATACTATTTTAAAGGTCCCATGTTTTGGCCATTTCTACTGATCATAATTCCATTGTTGAGGTCTACTAAAATAAATGTATATTGTGCAATTTTCCAAACTCACATTGGTTTCTCATACAGCATCTCTGTATAGTATGTGTATTCACTCTCTGTCCTAAACGGCTTGTTGGAGCTCCTGCCCCCCCCTCCCTGTGAGCCCAGTGGCCGTCGGCGAGACAGCGAGACGCCGCGGAACTCAGCCTGGGCACACACGCACACCCGCAGCCTGGCTGGGAGTTTGTGTGTGTGCCCAGGCTGAGTTCCGCGGTGTCTCGCTGTCTCGCCGACCCCACACCAGTGAGCCAGCTCACACTGTCCCGCTCCTCGCAGCAGCGAGCCTTGCAACGTCCCGCCGAGTGTGTGTGTGTGTGTGTGTGTGTGAGGAAGTCCGCGGATTGGTCCAAACGTAACGGCTCCGCTGACGTAACGTAACGGCTCTATACCCGAAATACGTCACTATACCCAAGAAGTAAACAATGGAAAAAGAGAAATCTCCAACGAGGCCTTCTGGGGCAGCATAGACAGGTCTTTTCTGTGTTAGAGTTTTACTCGCTACAGGGTGTACTTTGAGGGTTTGTTACTCTGCAGACCGTTTACATGCAGAAAAAGCTACATAACACAAGGGGACGGGTAATAACCAGAAAAGCATGACATGGGACCTTTAAACAGTTTGCTCAAGGTAAAAATTAAAAGCTCAAATAAAAGTTAAGTAGTAGTTAAAACACTAAGAACATTGGTTAAAATAGTAAGCTAAAAGTAGAATAGATTTTTTTTTAAGTAATCTTAAAATAATGGATGACTCGCTAAGATAGTTAGCTTAAAGTAATTGATAAATAGCTAAAATAATATCTTAAATAACCAAATTAGCAGTCGAAATAGTGAGCTAAAAGCAGTGCATAAATGGCTAAAATAGTAAGCTAATAGCAAGCGATATACTTTTGAATTAGATGAATGAAGAAGTATGAATGCAGACTTGAACAAAACTGGCCTAAACACGACCAATTAAATTGAAAATAGTATTGTAAATATCCACTTTGAAGTGTTAAATAACATCTAGTTTAACATAAAATAATGGTGTCAGGCCTGAAGAATTCATAGGGTTGAGGGGACTACATCTAAAAGAAAGGTTTGGAAGCCCTGATGTGCAAACAGCCTCCAGCAAACAGACACAATAGATAGCAGTAGAAACCAAATCTTAACCCTACCTGAGATCTCCGACATAATGTGTTTGCCAGGCCAGTCGGACCGGGCTGGAGCTCAGCATGTGGACCTTGCTCGCTCTTCCCAAGATGCTCTGGGCCGTTTCAAAGGCCGAGTTCCCCTTCCCCAGAATAAGGACGGCCTGGTCCTTGTAGTCCTCAGGATCGGTGGAGATGGACTCGTAGCCTTCAACCAGGTCAGAACCCACAAACTCCACCTTCTGAGGAACCCACAAACCTGTGGCCACCAGGAGGACGCTGAGGGAGAGGATCAAAATCATCACGTTTTATTAAAAGAGCCGATTATCACGAAAGATAACAGGGCTTAGTTGAATACTCGATTCTGATTGGTCAATATGGACATTTTAGAGGTTGTTAATACTTGATAACAAATTGCTGCTATGCATAACATCACCATTGCTAAGGAGGATCAAGGGAGAGAAGGAAATAATGCATATGTATAAATGTGTCTGTTGATTGTGTATATATATATATATATATATATATATATATATATATATATATATATATATATATATAGATATAGGTATATACATATTTTTTTACATATTTTTATATATCTTGTTATTGTATTCGGGATTGTGGGAAACGGTATTTTGATCTCTCTGTCTGTACACACAAACTGAAAGATTGACAATAAAGTTGACTTTGAAAGAGGTTAAAAGACAAACAGTGGACGTCAGATAAGGCTTTCCCACATACATGTAAATATATATAATATGTATATATGACCCAAATATGTATATATGTTCATTTTAATTCATTTCTTATTTAAAAGTTACTTAATATTTATATAATTGTATTTGTATCTTTCATTTTATTAATCTCTAATCTGTGTGAATCTGTGCCGTCCTGTTTTTCATTCTTACCCTGTTGCTGTTGAACTACTGAATTTCCCCAAGGGGATTAAAAAAGGTCCATCTTATCTTATCTTATCTGACCCAACGTAAGCCTGATCCAGCCAGGTGTTCCACTACCTGCATGTGTAGTCTGCAGCATGTTGGTCCGTCAGGATGTAGCTCCTGTTTTTGGGCGACTGCACCGCCCTGATCCTCCCGATGTCCACACCGTACCGGACCCTCAGCCCGAGCTCCTTCTCAAACATGGACAGGTAGAGGGGGAAGGCGTCGGCCGGCGGGTAAAACTCAGAGCTCACTCTCTTCATCAGGAGGTCGGGGTGATCGCTCAGCAGCGAGTTCCAGTCGTGGCGCAGGTTGAACTCTCGGTTCTGCCTTCCTGTGTGGATCTTGTTGATGCTGATGAGCTTCCTGTGCCGGGGATACCTTGAAGGACAAAACAGAGCAGAGAAGGCAAAGGTGATTCAGAGGGTAGACCATGGATGTTTACAGAGAGAGCTGGATACAGCGTTGGAGGCGTGGCCCGTTCACACAACGTCATCACGCCCAACATTAGCCGCCTTTAGCTTAGCGGTGGTGACTGTGCCGTAGTTCCTTTATAGCCCAACATTAGCCACCTTTAGCTTAGCGGTGGTGACGTGAAGTCATGTGACCGTGCCGTAGTTCCTTTATAGCCCAACATTAGCCACCTTTAGCTTAGCGGTGGTGACGTGAAGTCATGTGACCGTGCTGTAGTTCCTTTATAGCCTAACGTTAGCTTTTTACTTGAGAAATCATAAAGTGGTGTTAATAGGTGAAGATTATCCTGCTGAACAAGATGTGGAAATATCAGAAATGTGTGTTTGCAGCAGATCTAGATTTCTGCAGTTTTCCAAAAGCCAATGGAAATACCCCATTGCTATTGTCGAGAAAACCCTTGCGAACTTTTCACTTTTAGGATATAATGATCTGAATACGGGCTATGATATGCTCATTTACGGACATCCCTTTTCCAATGTGAGTCAATGGGATAAAGTATTTTTGGGCCCAATGACACAGAAGTTGTAGTCCCACTGTTCGGTGCATGGCGTACTTTTCTTAAAGGTGTAGGATAGACAGTTACAATTTTTCTTCTGCAATTTCTGTGGGCTTCTTTACCATACGACAAGTTTCAAAATGGTTTCCTACTTGTTAAAGAAGCTGCCCGGTCCTGAGTTCCTCTCCAGGATGATGTAGTCTCTTTTGGCCTTGGACAGGAAGAAGCCCATCTGCAGCCCTGCAGGCCCGGCTCCCAGCACACAGTAACCAAAGCGCCGGCTGCCATTGTGTTGGTTATCAGACGAGCATTTCACACAGCCAATCAAGAGGAGGAGGATTAAACAAGGGAGGTTTGAATCCATTACCTGTTGGACACAAAGCAACGTGTGTCAGTATTGCATAAGAAACCATAAAGAAAATCCATTAGGTAGTTAGAATATTGTAGGACCATAAGATATCTATCATCCCCCCCGCAAGTGGTGTAATGTAATGAAGTACATTTACTTAAATACTGAATTTAAGTACGAGGTATTGAGGTACTTCCACCATACACAAGTATTTTCATGTTATGCTACTTTGTACTTGTACTCCACTATGTTATGGAAACCTGTAGATTTTGAATGCAGGACTTTCAATTGTAACAGTATTTTTACAATTCAGTACTGCTACATTTACCTAATTAAACAATCTGAGTATTTGTGTACACCTCTGGGTACTAGTTAAACTTACTAAGACAACATATGTAATTAAATGACAGTTACTAATCAAAGTGTTGGTAAATACAAAGGGGTTACATCCAAATATATTTATTTTTAGTGTCCAAAATGTAATAAATTAGAAGTATATAGTTGAATAAAATGAAAATACTCAGGTAAAGTACCTCAAAATTGTACTTAAGTACAGTACATGAGTACATGCAATGCTGAAATGTAATGAAGTACATTTACGCAAATACTGTACAGTTTTGAGGTACTTGTACTTTGCTTGAGGATTCCCATGTTGTATAAGGCCTACTTTAAGTATATTTTTACGCCAAAACGTTTGTACTTTTACTCAAGTAATATTAAATACATTTGAACTTGCAACAGTATTTTTACAAATCAGTATTACTACTTTTAAATGAGAACTCCTTCCACCATTAAGTAGGCTACTACAACTACCTTAAAATGTTAGGCTACTTAAGTACAGTATTAGTATTACAAACATGTTTTTATGCAGTGTTATGAAGTAACTCCATAACACTGCATTATTCACTCCCTGCATGTGGGCCATGATTAGCCAACATTAACACCTCTACTGCTGAAAACATCCACAAATCCAAAATAATATGGCGACCCACTAGACACACATGCATCTAATGCGATAATATATAATATACCGACTTTAAATAGGTGTAAACGTGCATTTAGACAGCATGTAATCCCCCGGGTGTGCAGCAGCTCTCCAGCCGACGGTTAGTGCCTCTCCTGGGGATGCGGCTCTGCCATCGACCGGTGAACAGATGAGTGTCCGGAGTTATGATCCATAAACACACCATTACCTTTTACATCAGGCGATCCCTTGAACGCAGCATGTGTAGTTCAGCATGTATGAAGTCTACATGTTTACTGTGGAGCATTTTAAAGTGTGTGTGTGTGTGTGTGTGTGTGTGTGTGTGTGTGTATGTGTGTGTGTGTTTGTGTGTATGAAATCCGCTACAAGGCTACAACACACTTCCCCCTCAACACACACCAATGGAGGCTGCTTGCATAAGGGGGCGGGGCTACAACATACCAGACAGGGGAGAGGGGCTGGATCTCACTGGGTTGTTGTGATGAGGAGTGTCCACAAAGTGTGTTTAATCAACCTAAATAATCTCTATGACTCAATTAGAATGTAATAATAAACCTTACATGACATGATATATCTTCAGAGGTGGAAGAAGTACTCTAGTATTCTACTTAAGTAAAAGTAGCAGCACAAATGTGTGAAAATACTTGGTAAAGTTAGTCTCCTGCAAAACGTGCTTTTAGTAAAAGTACTGAAACATTAAAAGTACTTATTATGTGTAATGTCTGGATTATGATCATTGATGCATTAGTTGGTTTTGTCACAGCTGGTAAAGGTATAAATATATATATATAAATAATGATACATTTTTTAGAGTAATCATCATATCCCTGTTGTGTTTGTTGGTGTATTTAAATGTATATAAAATATATTTAATTTTTACTTTTATATAAACATTTGAATCTTTTTTTTTAATAGTTATATATTCTTTTTGAATATTATAATATTTACAAGGTTTCTGCCACATCATGTTTTCAGATTTCCTCTCTTTATTCACAGAACTGCTTTGTCATGTTTAAGCCTCAGTAGTCACACTTCCTATTTTACTTAAACTTAAGATACATTTCCCTTTTTAATGTATTTATTAGTTTAAAGAATGCAGTATTTTTACCTTAGAATGAGCCCTTTATAGTATATCCATATGAAGTGGGTCATTGGAAGTATTAATCATGCAGTCTGGCGCTTTATTACTAATATATATTATGTTATATTACAAAAATAAAGTACATGTACCTCATTATTTGACTTATTTACAGTACTTGCGTAAATGTATTTCTTTACATTTCACCACTAAGTGTTTTTTATCTAGAGTGAGCATTAAGTAGAGTTTTTGATTTTGCCTCATCATGTTTTCAGATGTCCTCTCTACATGCCTTGTCATGTTTAAGCCTCAGCAGATTGATGACTCGCATCAAACCCCACTCACACTTCCCATGTGACTCAGCAGAAAGTCACATATATATATAAACACAGGCGACACAGAGCCGAGAGGAAACAGAGGACCGAGCAGCCTTCAGTTTATCACAGGTGCATTTCAACATTTTTAAATACAGAGCAACCATTTGTTCCAGTCTGCAGAGATGGAGACCATGAAGAGTGCCAGGAAGAATGATACAGAGGACGTCGGCAGGTAGGACTTAGGTTTTATTAACCCAATCACAATTCAATTCAATTAAAATGTTTTATTAAGCTACAGTGTAGAAATGGCAATGAAATTATTCTGACCTGAGCTCCTCCCACAATGCAACACATATAATAAAATACAAACTAAAAAGTAGTGCAAAAAGTCTATATACATGTACATAGAATATGATATGTACAAGAACAGAATATGAAATTAAATAAAGTAAATTACGACAAAATTAAGATACGGTTTATTGCGGTGATAACTATGTATATATACTACACACTGCACTGTTTGAACAAACACAGTGTAAACAGCATTGACATTGAAAATATATATATTTGTAATAATGACACTAAAATTAAACATAGGCTGGAGAGGAGGTTAGACAACAACATCAAACAATATTTTATTTTGTTATTTTTTGCCTATTCTTCTGTTGTGATCTCAATGACAATCTTCAATTTTTCAGTGTTATATTATTGTTTTTTCAATATATTTTTATATGTTTTCCAAGGCATTAAAGGTGGGGTATGTGAGTTTGAGAAACCGGCTCGAGATACACTTTTTGTTATATTTCATGGAATGCTCTTAACATCCCGATAGCAATGAATATCTTAAGTGCTTTGACAAAAAATCCATAAAAAAACGTCATCTGTGGAAGCCGTAGTACTGTAAAAAGCACGACCAATCATTTTAGCCGGCCCGGCTAAAGTAACTGGATGGCCTACCTGCCTGTCAGCCTTCCATCTGTGCACAAACTTATCTCGTGCCCTCATTGGTCATGTGCGCGTTCATGTGTGTTGGAGGAGGGGCTCTGTAAGGAAGTAGCAGATTTTCTCCGGTTGTGTATTTTCAAATTCTAGCGATCTCGAGCCGGTTTCTCAAACTTACCTACCCCACCTTTAACTAATACTTTATTTGTCCCTCAATGGGGAAATGTACATGATGACAACAGCAGAACAATTGCTAAGTATGCAGTCGTTATTAATAACACCATAAGTTAAATACAAAAACAAAATAGTTTTATATTTACAGACAGTGTGTGTGTTTTTGTAAATGTTTTCAAAGCCAAATTAGATTTTGAATGCCAAATCTTACTGTAACTTTTTCATCTATATAGATTTGATCAATTATTATTATTTTAAGGATATGATTTTATGGTTTTCGAAGTCCTAGATTTGTCTTTTGCATTTTACTTTGTTTTCCAAAGACAATCTTTAGATGTCTTTTTTGTTAATTCTTTTTAATCCAAATTTAGTTTTTGAAGTCCAAACTTTACCCTAACTGTTCTAGCTCCAGGTTTAAAAGTAAATTACGTTTTTTCGGTATAAAAGTATGTATTTCAAAGCTTTCAACATGATATTTGTTGCATGTTGTTGTGTTTTCCAAAGACAGTGTCAGATTAATATATAAACATGGATATTTGAATAACTGTGTCCTGTTTGTGTTTCCCATCTTCAGTGATTTATCGGAGCAGATTAAAGCAGCCACTAAGGACAGTCATGTGCGAGCTGAAAACACCACGCTGATGCTGGACTACCAGAAAGGGAAGATCACCCTGCCTCAGTACAAGGTAAAACATTGAATGAAGTCAAAGTCAATCTTTCAGTTTGTGTGTACAGACAGAGAGATCGAAATACCGTTTCCCACAATCCCGAATAGAATAACAAGATATATAAAAGTGAAGTACATTTCGTCACGTTTTATGGGATCTGAGTACGCGATAATGTGATTTAATAGATAGAGTGTATCTGTTGTAATTTGTTGACATGTTGTCCCTCAGCTGTTGCTGTGCTCGCTGTATGAGATCTACAGAGCTCTGGAGGAGGAGCTGGACAGAAACGCTTCACATCCCGCCGTCGCTCCCATCTACTTCCCTCAGGAACTCGCTCGTCTGCAAACTCTGGAGAGAGATCTGGAACATTTCTTCGGCTCCGAGTGGAGGCAGAGGGTGATCGTTCCTGCAGCCACGGTCAGATACCAGGAGAGAATACGGAGGGTGAGCGGAGAGGAGGATTATTACTTAACCTCACTTTTGAAAGAAGATTCTCTGATATCCTTAAAGAGGACATGTTCCTCTTTAAAGAGTCCTCTCCTGCTGATGTTCAGGTGTATATCAGTATGTAGTGTCTCTACTTTAAAGAGTCCTCTCCTGCTGATGTTCAGGTGTATATCAGTATGTAGTATCTCTACTTTAAAGAGTCCTCTCCTGCTGATGTTCAGGTGTATATCAGTATGTAGTGTCTCTACTTTAAAGAGTCCTCTCCTGCTGATGTTCAGGTGTATATCAGTATGTAGTGTCTCTACTTTAAAGAGTCCTCTCCTGCTGATGTTCAGGTGTATATCAGTATGTAGTATCTCTACTTTAAAGAGTCCTCTCCTGCTGATGTTCAGGTGTATATCAGTATGTAGTGTCTCTACTTTAAAGAGTCCTCTCCTGCTTATGTTCAGGTGTATATCAGTAGGTAGTGTCTCTACTTTAAAGAGTCCTCTCCTGCTGATGTTCAGGTGTATATCAGTATGTACAGTAGTGTCTCTACTTTAAAGAGTCCTCTCCTGCTGATGTTCAGGTGTATATCAGTATGTACAGTAGTGTCTCTACTTTAAAGAGTCCTCTCCTGCTGATGATCAGGTGTATATCAGTATGTAGTGTCTCTACTTTAAAGAGTCCTCTCCTGTTGATGTTCAGGTGTATATCAGTACGTCTAGTGTACATCTTACACCCTTGCCAAAATGTACATCATATACATTAACCTGGCCAGAATGCAATCTGAAAATGTATCACTTGTGGGGAAAAAGTGTTAATATTCAGGAATGGCTTGATGTCCAAACACCATGTAGTGTCAGGAAACTAATCACATTAACTCATCTAAGTATTACATGAAGGTACTTGTTCTCATACTTCCTCCACCTTTTCAAAATAAGAGCTCTTCTTGTTCCTCAGATCGGTGCAGAGAGTCCTGATCTGCTGGTGGCTCACGCCTACACCCGTTACCTGGGCGACCTGTCAGGGGGTCAGGTGCTGGGGAAGATTACCCAGAAGTCCTTGGGGCTGAGCAGTAAAGATGGACTGTCGTTCTTCTCGTTCCCCGACGTCAGCAGCCCTCATCGCTTCAAACAGCTGTACAGGAGTCGCATGAACAGCATCGAGCTGACGGAGGGGAGGAGGGAGGAGATGCTGAGGGAGGCAAACACCTCCTTCCTGCTCAACATCCAGGTGAGGGGAAGAGTGATGTTCAGGTGTATATCAGTATGTAGTGTCTCTACTTTAAAGAGTCCTCTGCAGCTGATGTTCAGGTGTATATCAGTATGTAGTGTCTCTACTTTAAAGAGTCCTCTCCTGCTGATGTTCAGGTGTATATCAGTATGTAGTGTCTCTACTTTAAAGAGTCCTCTGCAGCTGATGTTCAGGTGTATATCAGTATGTAGTGTCTCTACTTTAAAGAGTCCTCTCCTGCTGATGTTCAGGTGTATATCAGTATGTAGTGTCTCTACTTTAAAGAGTCCTCTCCTGCTGATGTTCAGGTGTATATCAGTATGTAGTGTCTCTACTTTAAAGAGTCCTCTGCAGCTGATGTTCAGGTGTATATCAGTATGTAGTGTCTCTACTTTAAAGAGTCCTCTCCTGCTGATGTTCAGGTGTATATCAGTATGTAGTGTCTCTACTTTAAAGAGTCCTCTCCTGCTGATGTTCAGGTGTATATCAGTATGTAGTGTCTCTACTTTAAAGAGTCCTCTCCTGCTGATGTTCAGGTGTATATCAGTGTGTAGTGTCTCTACTTTAAAGAGTCCTCTCCTGCTGATGTTCAGGTGTATATCAGTATGTAGTGTCTCTACTTTAAAGAGTCCTCTCCTGCTGATGTTCAGGTGTATATCAGTGTGTAGTGTCTCTACTTTAAAGAGTCCTCTCCTGCTGATGTTCAGGTGTATATCAGTGTGTAGTGTCTCTACTTTAAAGAGTCCTCTCCTGCTGATGTTCAGGTGTATATCAGTATGTAGTGTCTCTACTTTAAAGAGTCCTCTCCTGCTGATGTTCAGGTGTATATCAGTGTGTAGTGTCTCTACTTTAAAGAGTCCTCTCCTGCTGATGTTCAGGTGTATATCAGTGTGTAGTGTCTCTACTTTAAAGAGTCCTCTCCTGCTGATGTTCAGGTGTATATCAGTGTGTAGTGTCTCTACTTTAAAGAGTCCTCTCCTGCTGATGTTCAGGTGTATATCAGTGTGTAGTGTCTCTACTTTAAAGAGTCCTCTCCTGCTGATGTTCAGGTGTATATCAGTATGTAGTGTCTCTACTTTAAAGAGTCCTCTCCTGCTGATGCTCAGGTGTATATCAGTGTGTAGTGTCTCTACTTTAAAGAGTCCTCTCCTGCTGATGTTCAGGTGTATATCAGTGTGTAGTGTCTCTACTTTAAAGAGTCCTCTCCTGCTGATGTTCAGGTGTATATCAGTATGGAGTGTCTCTACTTTAAAGAGTCCTCTCCTGCTGATGTTCAGGTGTATATCAGTATGTAGTGTCTCTACTTTAAAGAGTCCTCTCCTGCTGATGTTCAGGTGTATATCAGTATGTAGTATCTCTACTTTAAAGAGTCCTCTCCTGCTGATGTTCAGGTGTATATCAGTATGTAGTGTCTCTACTTTAAAGAGTCCTCTCCTGCTGATGTTCAGGTGTATATCAGTGTGTAGTGTCTCTACTTTAAAGAGTCCTCTCCTGCTGATGTTCAGGTGTATATCAGTATGTAGTGTCTCTACTTTAAAGAGTCCTCTCCTGCTGATGTTCAGGTGTATATCAGTGTGTAGTGTCTCTACTTTAAAGAGTCCTCTCCTGCTGATGTTCAGGTGTATATCAGTGTGTAGTGTCTCTACTTTAAAGAGTCCTCTCCTGCTGATGTTCAGGTGTATATCAGTGTGTAGTGTCTCTACTTTAAAGAGTCCTCTCCTGCTGATGTTCAGGTGTATATCAGTGTGTAGTGTCTCTACTTTAAAGAGTCCTCTCCTGCTGATGTTCAGGTGTATATCAGTATGTAGTGTCTCTACTTTAAAGAGTCCTCTCCTGCTGATGCTCAGGTGTATATCAGTGTGTAGTGTCTCTACTTTAAAGAGTCCTCTCCTGCTGATGTTCAGGTGTATATCAGTGTGTAGTGTCTCTACTTTAAAGAGTCCTCTCCTGCTGATGTTCAGGTGTATATCAGTATGGAGTGTCTCTACTTTAAAGAGTCCTCTCCTGCTGATGTTGTACTACATATGTATATACATGAACAATGTGGTGTCAACAACCAATAATAACTTCAGAATTGTTACGAAAGTCAAAGTGAAACTCCTGAGAAACAGGAAGTGAATCTGTCAAAGTGCTGACTCGTCGTTCTGCTTTTTCCCCTCAGGTTTTTGATGACTTGCAGAAAATGCTGAGTGTCACAACAACAGAAGCCGAGGACCAATCAGAGGGCAACGCTGTCAAATCCAAAAACATGTTCCCGTCTTTACCCAGCATGCAATTCACCGTGGGAGTGTGTGTTGCACTGGCCACGGTTGGATTGGGATTCTACGCTTTGTAGAGGCTCCATTTATATATATATATATATATATATTAATGTGACTCATAGAGTTGCAGACAGGTTCATCGTCTTCCTTGTTATAACATAAAAAACATGGCCAGTATTTTAGGAGTTAAGTCGTTGATCAATGTATATATTTTTTGAAGGATTGTGTACTTGTTTGTTGGATTTTCTGTACATGTGTTTCAAATTTAGGACAAACCTTTATTGAGCCCCTGGGGGAAATTCAGTTTTCCACTCAGTATTGAACAGAGGTGTAAAGTAATTAAGTACATGTACTCAAGTACTGTACTTAAGTTTAATGTTGAGGTACTTGTACTTGAGTATTCCCATGTTATGCTACTTTGTACTTTTCCTCCACTACATGTATTTAGTTACTTCACAGATCTGGATGAATGGTGTGAAATCTAATCAAGTGTTAAATCAGACTTTAGTTCCACCTGGAGTAAATTCACAAGCTACCCTGCAGTATACAAAGTCATTCAAACTAGCTGCACCTTTACCAGCTTTGAGAACACTTTCATGATCAATCATTATAAAACATATCATATATATTATTCTGAAATGGACCAATCTGCACAATGACTACTTTTACTGTCGCTACTTTCACTATATTTTGATGATAATACTTTTATACTTTGACTTGAGGAACATTTTGAATGCAGGACTTTTACTGTAACAGAGTATTCCTACACTCTGGTACTTCTACTTTTACTCAAGTACAAGATCTGAGTACTTCTACTTTTACTCAAGTACAAGATCTGAGTACTTCTACTTTTACTCAAGTACAAGATCTGAGTACTTCTACTTTTACTCAAGTAGACATTCAGAGTACTTCTCCCATTTTTGGTATTGATGAATAAAAACACAATTACAAAAAATATGATTCAAATACTTTATTTTTTACACATCTTGCAGAAACTTCTTCTTGTGACATTTTCTCCATTGTTTTTATTTTACATCCTGATACGTGTCGCTGCCATGAACCCGTCACCCTGACTGAAACGGACTTTTCTAAAGACATCTGTTTTTAAATGCAGATTATAACTATTTACATGAACATTTAGAGCTCCGTTGGCTCTACTTGACTCTGTAGAGGACCTTCCTCTGCATGCGGTGCTGCAGCTCGCCGCGCCGCAGCATCAGGTGCAGCACCTTGTAGATCGCATGCTCCGGGTATTTCTGCAGAGCGGGGAAAAGAGGGGAGATGAAATCAGACCACAGTGATACAAAAGATCTCTAATTTTCTACATTCTTTTATACAAAAAATATAAATAATAATAAATAAATTATTTTCGGGTAGTTAGTGGTAAACATACTCCTACCAAGAAACATATATTTCTTTTGTATAAAACAATCTTAATATTTTATTCTATCAACTGGGGAATTGGGTTTTGTGACTGTTGCTTCATTTTGAATTAAATACAAACAAATAAAGAATAGAAAATAGAAATGAAAATGTTTGATAAAGAGTAAAATAAGTTGAATAAAAATATCAAATAAAATTATGTTTATTAACATTAAAATAAAGGATACTATAAATAAAAATATAAAATATAATTAAACCATTTTTAAAGTAAAAATGTTTTAAAGGGATCAAATATAAAAAATAAAACCCAGATATTTGTATTAATAAAAGGACACATGAATATGAATATATATGAACACAGTAAATTGACTATCTGCCGCCTCTCACCTGTTTGGTGAAGTCCTGCACGATGCTGTGCTCGGAGACCTGAGAGCCGATAGCGAAGCGTCTCTTCATCTGTTTCTCCACCCGGGAGATCATCTCCTGGTCCTCCACCGAGGTGAAGCCCTCCGCTCCTGCAGACCATTACAGATTACAGACGGATCACATTTACTCTACTTTAAAGGGTCCCCTATTATACTGTTCTTCATCAATATATCACAGGTCTCAGATATATACAGAGCCTGTCTCTGATTGGCTGAAACACCAAACAGATCATTGCAGCATTACCCATAATCCCCTCTGTTTCAGCCCTGTTTCCAAAGTGCTGATTCTCTGTCTGTTACTTTAGATGAAAATAAGGAGCCCCTCCCCACGCCCCTCTGAGAGAGATTTGGTTACAAAGAACACAATGGTGCTCTAGGAGGAGATTCAGGTGATAAGGTGGAGGGGGGGGGGGATACCTTGGTTGCTGATTGGCGTTTCAGCAACCTGATAACATCGTTATGACATCATAAAGTGGCCAAAATCTGATCAGCTCATTTTCAGACAGGTTTTTATATAAATCAATACTAATCATTTTCCCTTTTTTAACAAGCTTTTTCCTACGTATTTAAGCCTTTATTGTGTCTGCGCTGCTCGGACACTCACCTGAGAGGCTTCCGGACATGGCGGCGTCCAGCGTGGAGACCTGGAAGAGACGCAGAGCCTCGTCCACCTCCTCTTCCCCGGCCACCGCCTGCAGCTTCATCTTGGCCAGAGACTCTGCGATGCGCACCACGGCCTCCAGCTGCCTGCAGGGGGGGGGGGGGGGGGGGAACAGGAAGTCAGTTTAACACTCGGGGGGGATGTTTAATAAGAACTAGATACAGCGTCGGAGGCCTCGTCCATTCATATTTTATTCCATTCTATTTCAATGTAAATACTGCTATATTTTTGATTATTTCTTTATGTTATAATAGTTTTCTTAAAATAATTCTCCAACTGTGTTTTGTTTTACTTTTATGTATGCACCACGACACCAAGTCAAATTCCTCGTACGTGTCAACCTACCTGGTGATAAACCTAATTCTGATTCCTATGAGCTGTTCATTGGCGCATGAGGACAAAATGGCCTGAGATTCTCAAGAGCAAAATGTCCCAAATTACCCATCATGCCTTGCTGTCAGAGTAGAAGTACCCATATGTAGCTCAGAGCAGCGGAGTTGAGTGCCCCCGTAAGTCCCGCTTCCTATCATTAAGCCCCGCCCCCCGAGCTCCCGTTCTCGCCTCAGTACAATGAATGGAGAGAGAAAATAAATGACGTCACGGACTGATACGGAAATTGTAGTACCGCCGTTTGGACACTACAAATATTTTCCTCAGAGTCCGGAGCACTTCCCGGAGGATTGGAGTCGGAGGCGGTGTGTCAAAAGACAAAGCTAGTCGTTTAATAAACATGGAACAGGATGATAACAACTCTCAAGGAGTCCGGGAGATCTGACAGACAGGAAAAGGAAGTTCCCGTGCACTAACATGTCCGCGGATGTCTCCCAAAACTCTGGCAATTTGAGAAAAACGGCGTGATTTGCCATGTTGGGTTCAGTCTCGGATACTTCAACAAGACTAACGTCGGGGTCACGGATGTTATTCGTCCTGCACGTACCTGACAGTGATGGGGATGGAGGCCCGTTTGTCCGTCTCTCTCTCGTGCTCGCGGGCGCCGCTCCTCATCACCACGTAGCGGTTCTTCAGCTTCTCTGCAGCGGCAGCCGAAAGGCGGGGTCCGCATTTACTGAGGGGGAAAACACAACAAATATTATTACAGGTGCACAGTGTGTAAATGTAATAAATAGATGCAAGAGTATTGCAATTAATAAATGTATACATTAAAAGAAAATGTGATGAGTTTGTATATAAATCCGACTTGTATATTATCAAACTCACGTTCTGGCGTAGGCGATGTACTTCTTGAACGTGGCGAGAGGAATCTCCCCCTCCACTCCCTCCGTCTGCGTGCGAGCGCTGAGGTGGACGTTCATCACGTGACGAGCCAGAGTCTGAAGACATTCATCACATATTAACAGATTGCAAAAGTACACATCCTTTACTCAAGTAGAAGTACAGATACTCGTGACTAAACTTCTTTACTCAAGTAAAAGTAAAGAGGGCTTTGAAATGTACTTCAGTAAAAAGTACCCATAACTAGCAGCTGTTTTAAAGAGTACCTGACCTCCCTTTATATTAATAGAACAATAATGTCATTGTTAGCTAATGAATGTTTCCATGCTGAACAACGGCAACATGACAACGTTTTCATTGGTCCCTCTTCTTTAGAGAAGACCAGGAAATGATGGATACACGGATCGTGTTCAAATCAATAGGCACGCAATGACTCTAAATAATAATGATCACGCCACCAAACACACATTCAAACTAAAGGAACCAGCCTGTTTGGAAAATGAGAGAAGTAGAAAGTACAGGTATTTGTGTTCAACATGTAAGAAGTAGAAAGTACAGGTATTTGGGTTCAACATGTAAGAAGTAGAAAGTACAGGTATTTGTGTTCAACATGTAAGAAGTAGAAAGTACAGGTATTTGTGTTCAAAATGTAAGAAGTAGAAAGTACAGGTATTTGGGTTCAACATGTAAGAAGTAGAAAGTACAGGTATTTGGGTTCAACATGTAAGAAGTAGAAAGTACAGGTATTTGTGTTCAAAATGTAAGAAGTAGAAAGTACAGGTATTTGGGTTCAACATGTAAGAAGTAGAAAGTACAGGTATTTGGGTTCAAAATGTAAGAAGTAGAAAGTACAGGTATTTGTGTTCAACATGTAAGAAGTAGAAAGTACAGGTATTTGTGTTCAACATGTAAGAAGTAGAAAGTACAGGTATTTGGGTTCAACATGTAAGAAGTAGAAAGTACAGGTATTAGTGTTCAACATGTAAGAAGTAGAAAGTACAGGTATTTGTGTTCAACATGTAAGAAGTAGAAAGTACAGGTATTTGGGTTCAACATGTAAGAAGTAGAAAGTACAGGTATTTGGGTTCAACATGTAAGAAGTAGAAAGTACAGGTATTTGGGTTCAAAATGTAAGAAGTAGAAAGTACAGGTATTTGTGTTCAACATGTAAGAAGTAGAAAGTACAGGTATTTGAGTTCAACATGTAAAAAGTAGAAAGTACAGGTATTTGTGTTCAACATGTAAGAAGTAGAAAGTACAGGTATTTGGGTTCAACATGTAAGAAGTAGAAAGTACAGGTATTTGGGTTCAACATGTAAGAAGTAGAAAGTACAGGTATTTGGGTTCAAAATGTAAGAAGTAGAAAGTACAGGTATTTGTGTTCAACATGTAAGAAGTAGAAAGTACAGGTATTTGTGTTCAACATGTAAAAAGTCGTCAGAAAAATAAGTAGCGGAGTAAAAGTACTGAAACCAGAAAAATGTACTTCAGTACAGTAACAAAGTATTTGTACTCCATTACTTCCAACCTCTGGATATTAACAATGATTCATTAATTCTTCCTGCTTCCTGTGAGTAAACCGCGAGTGAACCCTCACCATGTCCCTCTCGTGGTCGTGGATGTCTTTGATGATGAAGATCATGTCGAATCGGGACAAGATGGTGGGCATGAAGTCGATGTTGTCTTCGCCCTT